CTCAGTGAGTTATCCTTTGCATTGAGTAATAAAGCATACCTATCCTTCAGCATTTTCTCTAGTTAAAAGTTTGATGTTGAACAGTGCTCAAACCAAAGCAACTCTACCGGGTCTCTTCCATAATCCATCTTAAATGGTATGAAGTGATGAATTTTAGAAGTTACTAAAAATACTATGTCTTTGTCTGAGAACGATCGACCGAGGGTAACCATACAACCGTACAACTTCTTTAATGAACACTGCGGCCACTGAAGTAGCTAGCTGTATACGGGTGTTTAGGCTCAAGAAGTGAGCGTACATTCTCAGTTGATCCACTAAAACCAAAATAACACTCACTCTTTCTGATTTCGGAAGTCCTTTAACAAAATCGATGGAAAGCTCTGACCAAATCTTCATAAGAATCGCAATTGGTTGTAGTAAACCCGTATGACTAATGGTAGAATATTTGTGCGTCTGAAAAGTGTTGCACTCTGATATATACTTGCATTGATCCTTCTTTTGAAGATCCCAGTGAAACAACAGCTGAATATGCTTAATGGTTTTCAATACACCAGAGTGGACTCCCATCACTCCATCGTGATATTCCTTTAGTATTAATGGAGTATTAATAGAAATTCTTGGTAATACCAATCTTTGTTTGTAAAAACAAGCGAGGCGCTGACAATGGTGTATCCTGGCTTCTGCTCATTCTCCACTGTCAACTCGTGAAAGCGTTTCTTAATCGATTCATCCTTATCAATTCAAACAAAGATGTCCTCTATTTGTAAAGCTACCTCTCCTAACCATCTTAAGTTCTCTTGTTCATTGCTCCATAAAATCCGAGACAAACCGTCTGCTGCATTGTTATATCTACTCCGACCTTATATACAATTTCAAAGTCGTACCCAATAAATTATGTCAACCACTTCTGATCCGTGTTAATTGCTGATAGTCTAAAGTCATATTCATTTGATCCAAAAAGAATTCGAGGATGCTCTGATCCATCCGTGTGTTCCACAAATGTAGGGCCTAAAAGATAGTGTTTCCACTTCTGAAGGGCTAACACTATTTTCATTAACTCTCGTTCGTAGATCAGCTTCAATTGTTCCTTGTCAGACATACCTTTATTGAATCAGTTTTGACTTCTGCATTAATAATGTTCCAAGTCTATAACCTGAAGCGTCTACTTCTCGTTAAATAAAACCGATAGTGAAGCGTTTAAAAGTGTTGAATATTTCATTAATAAAACATCACTATTTATTTCAAATAGTATAATATAATTTGAATCAAATTAGTTTGAAAGACCACAACATTGAAGGCTGTCTACGCTAGGATTAGGTTATACACAAAGCATTTTCCGGTTTGCCTCCGCATGTCCGCAGACAATCGATTTTCATCTAGCAGGATCCTTTAAGTTCGCATTCTGGAAACTTATCATCCATTACTCATGTTAAATCAATCATATTATAAAAAGAAACTCAGTATCAGAATCATAGTTTTGTTAGTAGCTTATAAAGTGAATAAGATAACTACACATCAATATAACCTATACATAAACAGTGGCTTATGTTTTTTTGTTATATGAAAATTGAAAATAAATAAGAGATGATGGAAGAGAGTTTACGAGTCGATTGTCCATTGTTAGCAAGAAGTGCAACTATATTAAAGAAAAGCTAAGACCCATTGACCTATTCATATGAAAATCAAAAATAAACAGAATCAATTCAAAAGATAGCCTTTTATGAGTGATTGATTTTGTTCTTTATGATTTTTTTTCTTGAGAAAAGAATCATACAACACTGTATCAACCACAATTAGTTAATATATATTTTTTTTTTGCCTCAGGAAAGAAATCATGTAAACTGATATCATGCAATTTAGTTTGCTATCTAGTATTCCATAATTACTACTCACTCCGTTTCATTTTATTTGTCGTTTTAAGTTTTTGCACATATATTAAGAAAAAAATTAATTTATATGTTTTCGAGATAAAAACACAATTACATATACTAAACCTAACCACTTTTTAACCAATAAAAAATAGAATAGCAAATAAAGTTAATAAATTTTGCATTGAAATTATAAAAAAAACACTTATTTTAAAACGAAAATTTTACTCTACAACGATAAGTAAATCAAAACAAAGGGAATATGAAGTCTAAATTTAAACATTTAACCAAGAACATTTATTTTATTTTGTTAGATATCTATATGTACAAAGTAGAACTGATATATCCTAATGATGCTACCTCAACAAGTGTTTTACAAGAATTTAAGAAAACCTCGAAATTTTTTAAAAATTTGTAAATGCTCCACATACTTAATATTACTAATATTTTTTGAAAATTTTAATATTACTAATATTTAAACCATAAATATTAACAGAACAGCTAATATTTTATAAATATTTTTATAATAATGTATATTTCAACTAAATAACTTTAACATTGATGTACCCGCTGAAATAATGTATTAAGAAACACATGATATAACTCACAACAATTATAAAATAAAAAAATACAAAAAATATCTTCTGGCATCACTATCCTTATTATAATGATACTGCCATAAATCAAATTATTTGGTGGATTAGATTTTACTATTTACTGCTCTAATACACTCATGGCTGAAGTTCTATATAATATTTTGATTTTTCTATATGGAATAGAATAATCAGGTTGAGTGTAATGATTTATAATGCACATACGTCCCATGATAGATGTTCTTTTAGTTTTTGGGAGAAGTTAGTGACTATATATTCATAGCTATTAACTTTACACGGACACCAAATAAGAGTTCGACTCAGTGATTTATGTTCTAGTTGATCAGTGCTCGTCACTGAAACAATGTTTTTTTATGTTTTATGAACCGATCAAATTCTCACTTGACTACATAAGAATATTCAATCTTTGGATATTTTGTCCATCCTCAACTTTGCTACAAGCTATATAGAGATTTGTGTTCCTTGTGAGTGAGTGCATAAAGTAGAAATTTACTTATAACCCAACCAATAAGTCCCAGAACACGTTTAATCGGATGTCACGAGCAAAAAAAAAATGTCAAAAAGCAAAAAATCTTATGAGTAGCCAGTACTGCATTAAGAAGTATATAACACAAAGATTTTACCAACAAAAAAAAAGTATATAACACAAAGAGAACCCGCGTGCTTTAGCCAGTAGACTCAGAGCTTGCTCAGAAGAAGACACACACCATCCTTTGCTTATGATACTACATCAAATGGATAATGCTACAAGGAAATAAAGTTACAAATGCTTAAGAAAAAGAACAATGTCTTAAACCCGTACAAGTTACATACATTCATGAATGATAGTTGAAAACAAAACTTATTCAAAAAAGATAGTTGAAAACATATAACAATTCCAGTAGACTAATCAGTTAAAGCGAGATTGGCGGGAAAAGGAGGGTTGAGAGCAAGCCAAACATCAACTGGTTCATCATTTTTGGTTTTAACTAGGCATGGGCGTTTGGATACCCGTTCGGGTTCGGATCTGGTATTTCAGATATCGGTTCTTTTATGTAACACCTCTTAGGTTCCATTTTAAGAAATTCTTAAATTCGGATCGGGATCGGATATAACACATCGGTTTCGGTTCGGGTTCGGATTATACTGAAGTTACCATATATCATTTGGGTTCGGATTTTACTGTATCGGTTTCGGATTAACTAAAGTAAAATTCAAAGAAAACAAATAAACAAACACTCATTAGTTGACTAGATAAGAACTAAGAAACATGTCTCTCAAAATTAATAAACTCAAACTTACTAAAAATGTTTGCAACAACACACTAATACCGATAATAGTAACATAAAGTTTTAAAATGGAAAACTAACTGAGACAAAACCGCAAACAAATTACTCTGATTCATATGACACAGAAGACTCAGATTGATTTCTGAAAATCAAGTCCTTTTCGGATTGAGTTCTTGAAATCAAAGACGGTGGAGGAGATAGAGAGAATTGCATGTTTGTGTTTCTGAACATACTCTTCGATCAAACAACTTATTTTAATAGTAGATTAGGTTTTTGAAACTAGAAGAAGAGGAATCGCCCCTAAGGTTATTATGAAAGGTGTGGTTGTGTCTAGACTTAGTTGTGTCTTAGAATTGAAAATAACAAAGTGTGGTTGTGCCTTTTTAGAAATTGTCAAAATCAAATAATGATTAATACATGTGTATACTTACTGTACATTGTTCATATAATCAGTTATTTCGGGTTTTAGTTTGGATATCGGATTAAACCGAACCCGAACCCGATATCCAAAATATCAACATATCAAACCCGATCGGGTATTTTGAAAGATCTATAACCGATCGGGTTTGGGTTTTTCGGTTCGGGTTCGGGGTTTCGGATTATAGATAATATGCCCAGGCCTAATTTTAACTAATGCAAATAAATAAAGAAACCATATCATATGCAAATTTAAAAGCAAAGAAAAGAGAATATTCAAGAGCACCATTTCTTCAACAGCTTGTTATTTCATTCAACACAAAAGAATTTTTAATTTCACCGATTTTTAACAAAAAAAAAAAGGAAAAACAGTAATAAATACTCCCTCTGTTTTTAAATAAGTGTCATTTTGATTCTTTGCACATAAATTAAGAAAATTGTATAATAGACTAATATATCCCTATTTAATGTATGTTTAATTAAATGAAAATAATTTAAGTAAAATACTATTGGTTATTCAAAAGGGTAAAAAATAGATTTAATGTACAAAATTACATTGGGATTGTAGAATGACACTTTTTTTGAAATAAAATTAAAAGGCTAAAGTGACACTTATTTAGAAACAGAGGGAGTAATAATCAACAAAATAAGTTAATTTGTGCTGACTTTGGAAGAAGAATTTAGTTGACTTTCTAGAAGAAGCAGACCGGATTACCTAAAAATCTGATCCACTTACACATCGTCTCATCAATCCAACGGCCCTCATTAAATGACACACATCCAACAAAAAAATAAAAAAATGTGCGTCGAATGATTCTTCAACCTACCCCGAAAAAAAAATCACAATCTCTGAAACAAAAAAAAAAAGGCAAATTCAGAAACATGCGTGTGGTTAGGAGAGATCTCAAGATTCTATCTTAACTCCTCCATCTCTCGTCTCAGGTAATAGATTCTCATTTCCCAGTTTTTGTTTTTTTTTTACTCTCTCAAGTTAAGATTCGAACGATCTATTTAGGTTTTATCCATCTTCTTTTGGTGGAATTCAGTTCGTCTTCTTGATCTCTCTTAATCCTCACTAAGTATGTAATTAGGCTTGTGCGTAATCTAATTGATGGAACAGTGGTTGCTATCTATGTCTGATTATCACTGTTTCAAGCTACTTTGGTTGTGTTCGTTTTTGTAAAATTGTCTTCTTGATTGTAAAGTTGTCTTCTTGATTGTAAAGTTGTCTTCTTGATTGTAAAGGTGTCTTCTTGATTATAAAAGTTGTCTTCTTGATTATAAAAGTTGTCTTCTTGATTATAAAAGTTGTCTTCTTGATTATAAAAGTTGTCTTCTTGATTGTAGTTGTAAAGTTGTGTACTTGATTGTAAATTTAGTTTCTTTTAAATCGTGGAAAGACCATGATTTTGCTGCTTTCTTTGTTCTGCAGTGACTGTTGATTAATATCATGGGTTCTGTAATGAGCTTAAACTGTTCCAAGAGGAAAGCAACTAGTCAAGACGAGGAAACCTCATCAAACGAATCTCGCAAAAGACGAAAGATATCTTCTTCAAACGATGAAGACTACTCCAGACTGATTCCTTACCTCCCTGACGAGTTATCTATACAGATTCTCGCTAGGCTCCCAAGAATCTCCTACTCGAGTGTGCGGTTAGTTTCTCGGAGGTGGAGATCAGCTGTGTCCACCTCTGAGGTGTATACTCTGAGGAAAGAGCTCGGTATAACCGAGGAATGGCTCTACGTGCTTACCAAAGGACACGAGGATAAGCTTTTATGGTATGCTTTGGATCCTGTGTCCACGAGATGGCAGAGACTCCCTCCAATGCCTGTTATTGTATACGAAGAGGAGTCTAGAAGGAGTTTTTGGAATCTCGTTAGCCCTAGCTTTAAGGTTGCTGAGATTGTGAGGAGCTTGCTCGGTAGAAGAGACGCTTCTGAGCAGATGCCTTTCTGTGGATGTGCTATTGGCTCTGTAGATGGGTGTCTCTATGTTCTTGGAGGTCTCTCTAGGTCTAAAACAGTTAACTGTGTGTGGAGGTTTGATCCTATTGTTAACTCTTGGAGTGAAGTGAGTTCTATGTTGGCGAACCGTGCTTACTCCAAAACAGGAGTGTTGGATAAGAAGCTCTACGTTGTTGGAGGTGTTGACCGTGGAAGAGGAGGTTTATCTCCTCTTCAGACAGCTGAGGTTTACGACCCCAACACTGATTCTTGGTCTGAAGTTCCCAGCATGCCTTTCACGAAGGCTCAGGTGTTGCCTAACGCCTTCTTGGCTGACTTGCTTAAGCCTATCGCCACGGGGATGACTTGTTACAACGGTAGGTTATGTGTGCCTCAGAGTTTATACTCGTGGCCTTTCTTTGTTGACGTTGGTGGTGAGGTTTATGATCCTGAGACGAATCTTTGGGCTGAGATGCCGTCTGGTATGGGTGAAGGTTGGCCTGCGAGGCAAGCGGGGACGAAGCTCAGTGTTGTGGTGGATGGTGAGTTGTATGCTTTTGATCCTTCTTCATCGATGGAGAATGGGAAGATTAAGGTTTATGATCAGAAGGAAGATACTTGGAAAGTTGTTATAGGGGAAGTGCCTATTTATGATATGACGGATTCAGAGTCTCCTTATTTGCTTGCTGGGTTTCATGGGAAGCTTCATTTCATTACTAGAGATGCTAATCGTAATGTTACAGTGTTGAGAGCTGATGTACCTGACATCTCAGGCTCTAGCTCTAGCTCTAGCTCTAGCTCCAGCTCCAAGTCTGTTTTGGGATCATGTTCTTTGAAGGAAAAGGGCAATGTAGTTAACAAGTCAGACACTGTTATTTGGAAAGTCATTGCAAGCAAGGACTTAGGTGCTGCTGAGCTTGTTAGCTGCCAAGTTATAGATATATGAAAAAGCATAAGAGACTTTGCTCATTTGACACTGAGAAAATCTGTGTGTATAGCCAAAGTTTGAAGCTTTATGATATGTTATTCCCAAAGATATTTATAAAAGTATAATTCTTCAATTATGATATACAAATTATGTATACTTCTTCTTCTGGCCTTGGCTGTCATGTAAGCAATAAAAAATTGTGTAACATATATATATAAATTGCCTCTGTTATATGGATTTCATATGTGCAAGTATACACCAAAGCAGTTCTTGGAAGTAAGAAGAATTGTTCAGCTATTGATCATTTTGCTTAACCGGAAGTGTCGGTTCGGTTAAGAATCTCTTCGTGGTTATTGGCTTGGTTCTTCTATAATGGTGGAACCAAGCACCTAACATTATAGATGTTGCAGGCAGAAGAAGAAAATGGGTAAAAAGAAAGAATGATTAATGCGTTGGAATCATTTGATACTCCATCCTCTCTTTTTATCTTCCTTTTTCATAAATAATGAAAGTTGGTTCTTGATTTATTTCAACGAATCTGTTCATTGATTAATTGTTGTATTACTTTAATATGATGTGAATGAAAAAGTCTTATATTTTTTCTGAATGCATAATATATCTAAATATCAATAGGCTGTTATTTATTTGATTGATAAATGTATTTGTGTTTTGTGGAATGCACGAACAAATTCTCTTTCATAACTTATACAACTATTCAGTTGGCGTTTAAGAGGACACTTGAAATTGAACCGAATCTAATCAGAATCAAACTATGTTCCATCGTTTTTTAATCCTCACATTGAATTAATTTACTTGAACAAACCGATTATACCAAATTTTATTATTTGCAGGTTGGTTTACCTTTGATTTCATTACTTAAAAGGTAGTAATAATGAATAATGTAGTTCTTCTTGGGTACCATTTTATGAACAATCAAAACTTCATGAAAATACCACTTAATTTTATATCTAGATCACTTTAAAGTTCCTTGTCTATAGTGCTAAGTATAAAATTGCAATTTTCAGAATAATCACAACTCAAAGTAAGGCAGAAGAGATATCTTGAAAGTTTAAACTCCAAATAAAGAAACGAATAACAATAAACTATTGCCATATTATGAGTTAGGCATTATGTTATTAAATCTCATCTTTAAATTAGTTAACTAGTTAGGCTTATATAGTTGGTGGCTGCCATTTTCTAACCCTTCCCAAATTCCAGAATTACCCCCTTCTAACAAATCACACATAAAATTTGGCATATATGCGTACTGTATTAAAAGGAACAAAATGGTACAAATAATAATGGAGGGAACCCACAAACAAGCCCAATATCTTTCTTTAGAAAAACAAAGAGTATCAATACCCACTTAATATAAATCAAATAATTGAGAAATCCACTAGTACATTTTGATATTGTACAACATGGCCAGAGTTTAGACTTAATAATATTAGCATTATATATTATATATAAAATATCTTCTTACATCGTTACTATATATCACCATCAAACAATCTAGGTTAATTATACATTTTACAAAATGTTTTATCCACATATGTAGGTATAATAGTTTTAAAATTATTACAAAGTAAATATATTATCAGTTGAAATAAAATTAAAATAATTCATATTTTTCTATTCGAAATATTTTTTTTGGTAAACATATTCGAAATATTTAATAAAACTAAACAATAAACTCTTTATATATACAAATTTTATCATAACATAAATATTTTTTATCACGTAAAATAAATTTAAAAGTACTAATACTTTTGAAATATTTAGTTTTTAATATGAAAATTTTTGTTAATATGATAAAATTATATTTATTATGTAAAACAAATTTGAAAAAACACTAATCTATGCATTAATATTATTTACAATATATAGAGATTTATCTCTTATAATTTATAACTTTTTTAAGAAAACAATGTAAAATATGTTTTTCAAGAACACAACATAAAATATTTTATATAAGGATGATTATCAAATCAATGAAATTTGTTTTTAATTTATGGTTAATTATATATTAACAAATATAATTATTCATTAACGTTAATCAAAACTGTATAACAAAATATAAACTATTTTTAGATAATAATTATTATTATTAAATCAATGAAATTCATTTTTAGTTATTGGCCAATTATATATTAATTTGCTTTTAATTTATGGTTAATTAATATAAACTATACTTAAATAATGATAATCATCTAACAATGTTTTTCTTAAATTAATGTTCATTGTATATTAATTCATTTTCAATTTAAAGTTAATTATATATTAATAAATCTAATAATTCATTGAGTAATAATTAATAATTAATTAAAATCATAAAACATGACAACTAAACTAAAATACAATAAATTATGAAGAATATGACAACTAAGCAAATTTACTTCACAAATAATAGTATAAATCTAATTATTTATTGAGTGATAGTTAATTATTAATCAAAATCATAAAAGCATGATAAATAAGTAAATTAATTAAAATTATGAAGAATATGATAACCAAATAAATTTACTTCACAAAAATAATATAGATTCTTGATAATTAAAAGAAAAAAGCCAGCATAACTGTGTGAGATTAAGAGAGGGGTAGAAAAGTCAAAATGAAGAAGAATCTCACTTGAGAAAGAAAACCCAAATTAAAAATCTGTGCTGCTCAAAGACACAGCCTTTCAACCCAAAGCGTCTCTCTTTTCTTCTTCTTCCATCTTCTTTCTCTTTCATTTTTTTCTTAATCGAAAACCCTTCAATTATAATCGGATCTGTTCTTCTTCAGAAACCGTCAAAAAGAGGATAAAGTCTGTTTCTTTTTGCAGTGAATCCTTCTTGGTGAGCTTTTTGAGCAACTGGGTTTTGAAGTTTTCGACGAATTTGAATTGGGTTTTCGTTATTTTTGGTGTTTGTAATTGGATTGGTGAAAAAGCCTATCTTGTGTTCGATGATATTCCCCAGAGAGAGAAAAAGGTGAAGACTTTTGATTCTTTTTTTTTGTGTTTGGGGTTTTGTGTGTGTGTTGTGGGGGAGGGAATAGAGAAGATGGCAGGTGGTGAAGATTGGATAGAACTCAAGTTTAGACTCGCTGATGGCACCGACATAGGCCCCAGCAAGTACAATCAATCTATGACTGTTTCTTCTCTCAAAGAGAAGATCATCTCTCAATGGCCTAAAGGTAATAGTTACATGTTTCTGCCTTTCCATCATTATGTTTGATTGATGCTTGTTTCTTGTAATGATTTAATGTATACCGAACGCTTTATTGGCCTAAGTTTAGGTACTAAGCTTTGTAAAGTTTGAGAATTTAACAAATAAAAAGAAGATTGGTGTCTGAAAGTGTATATTGTTTTTCACGGTTTAGATGTATTTGGTAACCATGGCCTTGTTTGGATTGATAATACTACTCCTAAGGTTGTGTTGGAACTGCAGTTTTCAAGTGTTTCTCTCTGTTTTGACAGACTCAGAGAACATTCCAAAGACTGTAAATGATGTGAAGCTCATCAATGCTGGGAAAATACTAGACAACAACAGGACACTTGCTGAATCAAGGCTTCCCGTTGGTGAACTTCCCGGGATGATCATCACTATGCATGTTGTTCTTCGCCCTCCTACTTTAGACAAAAAGAGCGGTAATTGTTTATATACCTTCCTATACTTTTTTCTTTATTGTAATGTAACACTAACAATAGGTTTCCAATAATATTCTCTAGTCGCTTGTCAATATGGTATTTTGATTCCAAACTTCCATGTTTTCCTAAATGTTTTTGAGATCATGCGGTTACATCATATATCATCTCATTGTTATATTTTGTTTTTCTCTGTTACACAGAAAAACTGCAGAATGATCCTCCCATGAAGAATCGTTGCGCATGCACCATTTTGTAGCTGCAAGTAAATTGGGATCATATAGAGATTTTCATCCTTCATGATAATATAGCACTGGGTTGTGATGCTCCATGGAACAGCTGAGAAGTTCCCTTCATTAACAAGATGATTGGCATAGACATGAAAAAAAAAAAACAAACAAAAGGATCTTCATTACAGGACTTGTTTTCATTTGTGTGGTTGATAATTTATTTTTCATCTTTTCTTCATTGTTTATCAAAAATGGTTCAAGAAAATATTCTTGAAGGATGTTTGTTTTTTAAAAAATTATACAATACAAACAATTTGAAAGACAAAATATAATAGGAGTTTACTAGTAATTGCAGTCAACTGTTTATCTATGTTCTCTGTCTCAACTATGACTCTTCTCATTCTGAGTTGAAGAATATGGGATTTCTGTACAGTACAGAGAAGACATCACTTTGAGAACCCCATATCTTTGAATAAAGAACATTTATATTAAGCTATCTATAATCTGAGACCACTGTTAGAACTTGGACTTATTATTCAACATCCTTGGGACATATATACATGGTAACCATCTGTGCATTAATGTTCACCAAGAGTTGCTGATGATGAACGGTTTAATAGCATTCCTTTCTTGGATGCTCTTACGTTCTTCAGAGTCATCATCAGCTTTTGTCTCTCTCCCTCAACCTCTGCAAACTTGAGGCTTAGCTGAGAGTAACGGTCATGCATCTCCTTGAGCTCTGTCTCGATTGATGCATACCGGCCTTTGGTCTCCAGCATTTCCTCGATTAGATCGTTTATGTCTCTGAAACTCTGGAAGATTGCTTGGTCATCGGTGTGTTGCTTCAAGAAAGAGCTGCAATTTCAGGCAAACAGGTGTAAGTTCAGTGTTTAGTATAGTTCTTTCTCGTTCCTGCAAGGGCAAATAGTAGATGAATTCTTGAATTATGTACCTTTGAAAATGGATGGCTGATTGTTTTTTCTTTCCACGTAATGCTTCAGCAAGTTCTAATTCCAGTGCAAGAACCCTTTCAAATGCGTTCCCGCAGCTGAAATTCTCGTGAGATAGAGGGAAGATCCTTTGAAGTTCTTCTTTTGCCTGTAGAAAAGATGATCATAAAGACTTGTTGACACACATGTTTCAATATATTACAATCTGTAACACGTAAGCTTCCGCACCTGACGCAACAGTATCAGCTCTTGTTCCAAACCCGGAAATCTGGTTTCTGAATCATTATCATCTTGAGGTTGTAGTAGATTCTCATTCTTCATCCGTTCTAGCTGCAAAGATGAAAACTCAGTAGGCTCTAACATAAATATGTTTTGTACATACAAAAGCAGCTAGTAAGCTAGTGCTATGTATTGACTCCACTCTTTAGACAATTTAACCAATAATGTAATATTACCTCATTGTTTAAATGATCCAAGCTAGACCTCAAAGTCTCTGTCCTGAAATTATCATTGATCAAAGCTAGGCTTTCTTCACTGTTGTCCAGCGCCATTGCTTCTCCGGAAGGTAATTGGTCTCCGTTTTCATTTACATCACTGGACTGAGTAGCACCCTGATGAACAATAAGCATAGTTAAAAGGTATAATGTATAAAATTATAAGCACCTTGATGAACAATAACGAATAAAAATACGTTATAAGGTACTAAACACTTATATTTTTTCTCCTTCAGTCAGAAATATCCCAATATGCTTAAATCCAACTTTAAAGGTATTTAAATCCAACTTCAGTCATTATCAATTTGATTAATCACGTCAATTAGTTATGCATAGCTTTTCATAACGAAGGTGCAGCAGATTGTCAACATGATTGCTTGGAGAAAAACTAGTTTTAACATGTGGTCTATGATACATGAAACAACTTCGTGATATATGCTAATTCAAACGGGATCAAACAGACGCTTACCTGAATTTTTGGTCTGGGGCTTGCAATTATATCTTTGTCAGCCAACTCCGTTACACCATCTTCCATCTGAATATGTTTATGAGAGCTGCAACGTTGTACAGATTCTCTCATTGATTCTAACTCTTTAGACATTTTCAGTCTCTCCTCTTTGCATTCCTGCAGAAAATCTTCAAGCTTCTGTTTTTCTTCCTTGCAGCACTCGAGGCTTAACAACGAACAATCCAGCTCAGCCTTCATCATGTCGTAAGCTGTTGTTTTCTCACGTCTATCGTTCATAAGAGATTGCAGGTCAGCCTCCAGTTCCAATATTTTATCTTCCAGCTCTTTGGTTCTCCTTAAATAGCTCGATTCTGCCTTCTTCCTTGCTTCATTCTCATCAATGGAATCCTGTAATTTCATCAGAATTCCTTCACTATGCTTCTTCGACATGGTCAGTTGATGTTGAAGCTCCTGCAGCTTGGTTTCATACTGTTCTTTGATGAAAATGATTCTCAACGACTCCTGCTGTGGAGTCAGCGGGGCTTGGTAGTCCGCCTTTTCACGGGAACGAGTGCATTCAGCTTCAGCATTGTCCTTAAGCTCTTTCAAATGGGTGGACAAGCTTTTAAACTCTTCTGTTTTCAGAATCTGCTCAGAGAGCTTCTGAGTGAGATCACCACACCTATTTTTCATTTTTTCAAGCTCACTGGCACCTTTTCCACACAGCTCAGCCATTTTCTCCTTTAGTACCTCGACTGTAATTTCCGCCTCAGCCTTTAACACCATCAGTTTTTCTATTTCTTCTTCATGCTCAACCAACAAAGCCTTCAATTGCTCAGCCTCATTAGCACATAGGCTTCTCTCAGAGTAACTTCTTTCTGCATTCTCATCCCTATTTGTGTACTCTTCAAGTTCAACTGACATTTCATCATTTCTATCAGCAAGAGCTCTGCTTTTAGCCATGGAAGACTCTAGCTCAGACTTCAAGGCTTCGAGACTAATCAATAATTGACTGTTTTCTTCCATATACCGCTTCTCGTTGACTAGACAATGGTTGAATGCCGATTCCATATCAGCGTGCTTCTTTTGAAACTCGAGATGGCTCTTAGAGCAGCAGCTAAGTTGTTCTGCAAGGTCATTGATATAGGTCTCAGACTGGATTTTTGTAAAAACATGCTGAACATCTCCAGCTATTAGACAATGAAACAGCTCTTCAATATAAGAAGACTCTTGATGAGCATTTCTATCATACTCCAAACTTTGAAAAGCCTTTTCAGATTCCAGTTCAGCTACCATCTTCTCCAAAAGTTTCACTTGAGATAACAGCAGATGCTTTTCATCTAACTCAGACGCAAGTTCTTCTATTCTGCTGTCTAATTTGTTTCTCAAACTTCTCTCAGTTTTCAACTCTGATTTTACAGAGTCGAGATCTGTCAATAGCTTTATATTATTATCCATATACTGAGCTTCTACATTACGAGAGCCATTGAGTGCAGTCAATACCTCAAAATGTTCCTTGTGCTGCTCCTCTGCATAGCTCTCCCACTCAGATCTTGTGAAAAGAATCTTGATATCTGCTGCTATTGAAAATTCCATCATTTCCAGTAACTGAGATTCTAGATCGGAAATATATGATGAATCACGGTTCAAGCTTCTCAGAGATGTTTCATATCCTGACAAAAGATGAGTGTGATTTGCCTTCTCCAACTCCAAATCCGAAACCATTTGCTTCAGACGGAATAACTCAGAGCTTTGCTCATCAAAGCTCAGCAATTTGGAACTTTGCGCAGTCAACTCTGAAGTAAGATCTTGCATTTTAATTTCTAGTTCCTGCCTTGAGCTTTTTTCAAGTCTCAACTCTTGATCAGATGTTGTCCTTAAACTCTCAAGCTCACCCACAAGACCTAAGATTCCCTGAGATTTATCCAGAAGAGAAGCCAGAAGATCTTTTTTCTCTTCAACTAGTTCTTCCACAAGCAGCTTGGTTCTTCCATGTTCAACAGTTACAGAGCTTAATTCTGAAATCTCTTGGCCAAGGGCCTCACTCTTAGCCACGAGTAGACGCATTTCATTCTCAAAATAATTAAGGCGAGAAACAAAGTCGGTGTGACAACTCTCGTAGTTTTGTTCAGATTCAGTAATGACCTTCATTCTGTCCATGATAGACTCAGTTTGCAACTGAAGTTTCTCGAGAAGGGCAGTGGAAGCTTCAAGTTTAGCAACCAAACGTTGTACACTATTTTCATGCTTCTGCTTGAGCTCAGTAATGTCAGCCTCTGCAGCCCTCAAATTAAACTCTGTCTTGGATTTTTCCTGTACCAGATCTTTATTTTCATTCATAAGTACAAGACTTTTGTCACATATCTTACACAAGAATTTATCAAGCTGCTCTGCTAAATCAGGGGACTCCAAATCAAGATCCACTCCTTCTTCCCACAGAGGTAGGGACATGAGCTTTTCATTGTAGCAACCTAATGTGTTCAGCAACTTGTCCTTCAGACTACTGACGTCCTTCTGCAGATTTTCATTTGCAGTAGCCAGATCATCAAACTTATCTCTCAGAGAATCAAACTCAGCCTGGACAGTAGCAAACCGTGTCTGAAGATGAACTTTTTCAAGCGCTTCTTTCTCCAAAAGCTCTGCGAGCTCTTTTTTCTCACAAATGCATGTCTCATAACTGTTTTTCCAATTCTTGGACTCCAACACTACAGATTCCAGTTCATCAATCTTTTGCAGAAGGATGAGGTTTTCGTGAGTAATGCTCTGCAGATTTACCTCTAAACTTTGATTCTGAAAAGCTACAGCATTCCATTTGGCAATGCATGTGGTTTTCTCCTCATTCAAAGAGAAAACCTCGTCCAAAGTAATATCCAGCCTCTGCTTCAACATTTCCTTGGCTTCTGTTGAAAGCTCAAGCTGCCATCCAAGTTCATCAATTTTCCCTTTCATGATTTTTATGTCGACACTTGCTTGAAGGAAAGTCTCCTGAAGAATTTTCGAGAATACTTCCAGATATAAGTTCCTTGAGTGCATCTCATAAAGTTCTTCTTCAACCTTTTGATATAGGCTTTCTTGCACATGAAGAGATCTCTGCAAATTTTCTAAAAGAATATCACCCTTTAAGGGCCGTTCCTTCATCCCCTTCTTCTCATTTTGAAACTGTGTGAGTTTTACATCACGAGTGTCTTGTTTCTCAGGCTTTGCCTCACCTGTCGATTCGTGAAAGCTTTGTGGAGGGTCTGGAAAAGCTTGCTTGATGAGGTTTTCATTGGTCTCAAACATAGATACAACCTGAGAGGAAAGCAGTTCAAGATCCTTCTGCAAATGGTTGACAGCAATGGAATAATTTAAGCGGGCCCTTTTAAGTGCTGCCTCTGCAGCCATAGCTCGTTTATCCAGTTTTTCATTCAGAGAAACTAAATTTTTCTTCTCCTCAGAAAATCTGAGTGCTTGCTCATTCACATCTTGGCGCAACGTTTCCATCTCAGCATTAGCGCCAGTGATACTATAGATGCATGTGGAATGTTCAGTCCTTAGATTCTGTAACTCTACTACCAACTGCCTTTGAGTTTCCTCGAGCTCCTGGACCAGAGATTCGTAATAGCACTCCATCTGATCCATTTTCTTGGTAAGGCTATCACGTTCAGCTTTAGACTCGTCCAGCCCTCGTACAAGCTCGAGTATTTTATCTCTCATGGCATTCACAGAATCTGCTGAATTGGGTTCACGAGATGTAAGATCTGGCATACCAAGATATTGAAGGGGATCAAGTTCTGGTTGATAAATCTCAGTGTCCAACTGAGAACCTGATATGCCTCTCTCATTTTTATCGGCTAAGGTGGTGGTTTTCTCAGATGGTACTGTGTTGAGATGAGATATTGGCTGGCTAATCTCCCTTTTAAAATCCAGTAGAACTCCGAGCAGAGACTCAAAGTCTGAGAGGAACAAGCGTAAGTCCCTGTCATGGTAGCTATAGCAAACTTTGTTTTGAACTTCTCTGATGTTATCCTCCACAACTGAAAGACCCTGCAGCCATTTCAGCTGTAGGTTGTAGGAAACATTATCTTGTTCTTTGCTATTATACCCAACATGTGTTTTGACGTTACGTAAGCGCTCCATCTCTTCTTTTAATTTTGAGCACTCTGATTTCAACACAGATACTTCTCTGACCAACCGATCCCCAGAACTAATCTCTGAAATAAGTATTTGAGAAAACTCTTGAGCTTTGGAACCTATATCATCTGCATGGCTCTGCAGCGAGTTTACTTCAATCTTAATCTCATTAATGGATGAGTCCATGTCCTCCACGAAACCTTTAAGCTTAATGTTCTCTTCTATAGCATTGCCTAAATCGCTGTTCTTGTTAAGATACTCTGAACCCCAGCCATTGTGCCACTCGCGAGCGTCTTTCTCTGTCTGAGGGCTCTGAGCAAGTCCACTCAGATCTCCAGATACCATACTTTTGAGGCTGTCAATTTCATTTGCGCTGGATATATCATGTTTGTCTGCATTTATGCTTCCTGATGTGTTTGAAGAGACATCAAATCCCAATGCTGAATCAGACTCATTTGGCCTCACAGCTTCTTCCACCAAAGAATCATCTCGGAACTTCTCTCTGAAACTCCCTTTTATATTTGTCTGAAAAAAGGTATTGACAATACAAGTTGTGTCAACATCCTCACACCCAAAACTAGTTGTGTGGAAAAGAGTTTTCATATTAATAGGTGAGCACAATACTACAGACAAATAAGTATATTATTGATCCAATACTAATAATGTAAATTTTTGATGTAAAACCCTGCAATGACAATTCGTATTAAGCTTTAAAGAAAAAAAAGAAGAACATACCTTATCAACATGACTAAGAGACTCATCAGAAGGTGAAGTTCGGGAACGGGAAGATTCGTCAGGACTGCTATGGTCAGGGGTCGTGGAGGGTCCCCTTTCCCGAAGTTCTCTCTGCTGTTCGAATTCTCTAAAACCTGTTTTTGAAGTTAACAGCTGCACAGTGACCTGGAAATAACAACAACAAAAAGTTGAGCAACCAATCTCTAAAGTGAAGAGGGAAGAGAAAAGATACTAAATGTTACATACATGTAAGATAGCTCCTGAATCACAGCCTTGCAAGGGCAATGCTACGGCAAACGGTTTTAAGGCATCAGCATATTCGGCAAGGTTGATCATAGCTTCTCCAAGGATACTAGATCTAGAAGTGCCCTGATCTCATAAGAAAACAAAAGTTGAAGCATAAATTAAATCCGAAACTACAAGTCAGAAAATCAGACAAGGTAAATGCAAAAAAAGAAAGTACCATAGCGACAACAATCTTATACAGTTTTTCATCAAATTGCTTAGTCCTTGTATCCTGAAGCAGCCTTGTAGTTTCATAAATGGGATCACCCCACTTGCAAGTTCCATTTCTCACAAGTGCTTTTGTTGTCTTTGCCGTAGCTTTTGGAGAGTCAGCAGGGATGAATGATATGAACAGCTTGTCCCATCCCGCTTGTGGAACCTTTTAATAGAAATAAAACAAACAAATCTATCAGATGACTGCTCAAGGAAGTACCAAATCAACATGTTATGATACTACTTAGATTCGCATAGTTGCACACCAACAGCATAAAAATAGGAAGTATGTCTATTTGATTTTGTTAATTGGACTTACATGAGTAGCGTGAAACTGCAACCGAAAGACAACTTTGACTTTGGCTTTCTCCAACTTCCATTTCGCAAGTCTCGACATTACTCAACAAGTCAAAAGAGCTTCACCTGAAAACACGTAAGAAATGAGCTCAATTTTCATACATTCCGTGTTCACCTTCCTATATCTACAAGTTCTGGTTACAGCCCTAGTAATAACATAGAAGAAGAAGCATACAAGAAACAAGGAGAACAAAGAGATTAGAGACAGAACAATGAGACCATCATCAGGTACAACATTAGATCTAAGTCACTCAGCTATTAAACCAGAAGCTAAATTCACTAAACTATGAAACGACCATATCTTTTGACCTTTCCTAACTTTCCAACAAACAGACATTAAATTAAAGCGATGTGAAACTATCTGAACCTCCTCATTCCTCAATTCCAAGAAAGGAAAGAGCTTTCTGCAAAAAATGGAAACAGAAATCTAAAAGTGCCCCCATTGGTAGATAATCCTCAGATCCAAAGCAAAGCCCCAAACTTTTAGTCAACTTGAAACTCAAAACAGAGCAAAGAGATCCAAATTCAAGTGACCATACTTAGCTAAGAACAACACTCCGTATTGACTCTTATGACCAGATTTAGAAAAGTAAGAAAAAGGGGAGATTGGTTTGTTGTGCATTAATGAGAAGGATAGATCAGTCACCTTATGTCCGGATCTGAGGAGGGAGTACTTATGTCGGAAGCAAGTAATTACGCCGACCAATGGAGAATCTCTTCAACTCAACCACGATGTCTCTCACTTCATCTTCTCCAGCTTTTCCCACTGAGAATAATAATAATAAAATAAAAAAAGTGTGTGAATTTGAAATTGGGAGAGGCTAAGTATGTGTGGGATTAAGGTGCATTACGGATCTAGAGATTTAGGGGGAGAGATTAGGTTTTTAGGGTTTGATTAGTTGACAAGTGTTGGTGAAATATCAGAAGGAGAGTTGATTGATTACAGTCTCATTCACCACAACACAGTGTGTGTGTGTGTGTGTGTTTTAAGTAAAAGAGAAGGATTAATTTAATTAAGAAACAATGACATCCCGCCAAAGCCACTTATTAATCTCCCTTCCTTAATTAAATTCATATTGTCCCTTTTTCCATACAGTAATGCATATTTATTATGTCGGACTATATTATTCATTCTCTCTTCTGAGGTGTGTCACCAGTTTCAGATTTATTTTAATTTTAAACCTGTAGATTTTTAAAATAAACGACTACAAGGTTATCATAATACTATAAACATTATTCACTAAAGTTCGCTTTTTGTCTTCAAATTATTTAAAGAACGAAAATCAATACAATTTATAACCTTAAAAGGTGAATCTCTATCCACTAATGTAGACTTAACAATCAAGCCTGTTAATCAGACCGTGTATTATGATTATTGATTAGTGATACGATGGTGTTATGTCATCCAGATGTAAAAATGCATATTTGTGATTAATAAATGATAGTTTAAAAGGTAAAATAAATGGTAATGGTAGGTCCCGGAACGGCAATGGAGAATGGACCAGGAAGCACGTGGGCTTCAAATTCGACCAGTCTCTTTTTCTCCCGGTCGCACAGCTAACCAAGCTATTTACGCTTTACCATGTGACCATTCATCCTTATCATGTGTATCATCGTTGCACGTGGCGCTGATCCGAGTGTACACAATTCAATGAGCCCGGCTTGGATAATAACGGGCTCTTTGGGCCTATACCCAAATTAGCTGAGCATGTAAGGGTTGGCAAAAATATCAACCTGAACCAAACCAAACCAAATATATATCTCAACCATTCGCATAAATAAATTATTAACCTTAAATAGTTTGGTTTGGTTTTAAACTTAGCTGAACCAAAAAATGAAAATAATTATCTAATTACATTAGCTAATATATTAATATAATAGTTTAAAATATTCAATCATCTAACCTAATGATGTAGCAAATAGATAGGTTGAACGGTCGATCAATGAACCTAAGAGTTCTTCGAGACATGTTCTTGGATCAATCAAGAGTTTCTTTCGATAGTTTCTTGAGACCAATTTCCTGAAGAAGATGAATTTAATCGAATATTGTTCAAGACAACTCAAAATAGATGAACTGAATCAAATCTATATCAAGGTATAAAAAAAATCTTCTTTTATTAATTATTAAAGTGTGAATACATCGTTAGGCTTGAATGCCTATTTATAATAAAATCTAAATCTAGAAAATCTTAATCTTAATTAAAATAGGAAAAATATTAAAATATGGAAAATATTAAAATATCTAGAAAATCTTAATCTTAATTAAAATAGGAAAAATATTAAAATATGGAAAAATATTAAAATATCTAGAAAATCTTAATCTTAATTAAAATAGGAAAAATATTAAAATATCTAGAAAATCTTAATCTTAATCTTAATTATATAGATGAAAATTCAGAATAGTGACTAATATTACTCAATTAATCTTGGCAAAAAGGTTTTTTAAAAAAAAATAGAATAAAAATAGAATAAAAGAAATAAAAAAATGATAAACTCATAAACATAATAAACTAATAAATTTCCTTGGTTTCATATTTATCAATAGAAAACATAACACAATTTTATAAACAATAAAGCAATATTTGTCAAATTTATAATTTTAGTATAAACATAAATTAATAATTAATATATAAAAGTTTATACTCACAGAAAAATATATTATATAGTTTATTGTTATACATAATGAAATTTATCTTTAATTTGAATACTTCAAAATATTTTGATGTTGTTTTGTTATTTTACACCTCAAAATATATCATATTTTTATACACCATATAATCAAATAAAAGCAACAAAAAGTTTGTAACTATAAATATAATCAATAAATATACTGCAAATAATTGTTATTTATTTTTACATAAAGCATACTTCAAAATTCATTATATTCTGTAAATTAATAACTCCAGTATTTGATATATTTTAGTAAAAGCACTATCAAAGCAATAGATTTGTCATTTGTGTTTCAATTAAAAACAAAATACAGTTTGCTAGTATTAATCTTTCCAAATATTGATTTTACACTGTTTGTAGTACATATATGGGACCAAAAGGCTTAAATAAATTCTTCAAGTCTATGAGTTAAAAGACCAAACGCATTATCGTTATTCTTTTGCTGATCTTCTAATAGCACTTATGTATAAAGTATGTGTATTGGTGATTGACAGATATGGAACTTTCTTCCAGAATATCTGATAAAAGTTTATTGATACCGAGCCACTCAGACTCAATTTGCCATTGTGCAGTGGTGGGTATACCAAAATTGAATTAAATATTTATTGTTAAAAAGATAGTATATATTTAAGAATTTTCACACGTATTAATAAAATATATTCAATTTAATTATAAATATACTAGTATCTAACTATTTTTCATAATTTATAGAAATATAATAAACACAATTAATTTTGTTGAAGTTTATAATTTAATATTATTAAGTGCATTGAAAATATAAAATATGTATTTTTAAATAATTTTTTTTCCTTCTAAAACATAGATTTTTTGGGTGTGGTTGGTGAAGAAATATTGAATTAAGAATAGATTTATTTGTATATAATCACCATAAAATATGTTTGTTGAACGACTTATTCGGTTTGCCAAGTTAATTAATATATTACACTATATTTAACTATAATTCATATGTTATTAAGTAAAAAAATAAATTAATTTATTATTTAATATATTTTCACAAAAATAAAAAATTAACATTAGAAATTAAACATATGTGCATATTAAGATAAATATAATCATAAATATAATATAAAATAAATAAAACTATTTTTATAGTATAAATTTTACCAAATGTGAAATAGAACATAAAATTGATAAGCGAAATAACTTGTATAGTTTATATTTAGACTGAAAAGATATCAAAATTGATAAGCGAAATATTTTAATATTTTATTTTACAAAAATAATATTTTAAAAAATTTATCATCGCTACAGTTGGCGCAAGAACTCCTCATATGTTTTCTCTATGCTCGCTTCAATTGAGCAGTCTCTATGCTCGGGATAGAGGAATTATACCGTAGACACCACTACAGATGAATGAACAACAGCACTAAAATATTTCCGATTCGCCACTATATTATATACGTACAAATAAGTGGGAAACAGAGAAAATACATTGAACAAAAATGGACCCACAAATTCATCTATATATTCACCCCAACCCCTCCCTAACCTCCAAACAAGACAGATTTCAACTAAAGTCTTTTACATTTATAATCTCCTTGTTTCTATTTTCGTCTATTTTCATTATTCAATTATATTCTTTCAAAGAAACAATATTTCGTTCCCTGTGATTTTCTAAATTAATCGAACATGTCGCTAGACGGATCAGGACTAGGAGGGATGGCTATATATGGCGGAAGCTTACACGGCAAGAAAGTTTCACAGAGAGAACATGAAGATTTTTACGGCAAGCACAGCCTCAACCGTCGGCGGAGGAATAGGAGACAACGGTGGAGGATATAGCGGGTGGTTCTGGGGAAAGCTGATCACAAAGAAAAACTCGCCCAAAGTTTGTGATCTGACAACTATAGAATAATAAGCTAAGATGGTCACGTCCAAAACTAATCTAAGGAATGAGAATTTAGGTTTTTCAATATCGGTTTGTTTTACGTTATTTTCTGCATTATGTTTGGTTTAGACTTTACATCGTGTGAATCTATTTATGAATATATTGGTTTTACGATTTTAAAAAAGGGTTTAGAGAGGATGTTTCCTTATAAATATTTATAGTGTAGTTTTTGTAGAATATTTAGAGTGTAGTTTTTTTTATAGTAATTATTTGAGTGGAGGTTATTGTAAAGCTATGAGATTTTCTATAACGTGTATAGCTCGTTGCTATGTATTGTTCTTATAAAAGACTAGATAAAGCCCGTGCGTTATAATGAGTTTTGTTTGATGTTTTAATTTAACAAAAACATAAATAATTTTATTATAGATTTAGGATTTTTTTGCATAAATTGTGTGAGATTTATTTTATAGTTACAAACTCATTAATATAATTAGAATTGAAAAATATATCTTTTCAATAATAAAATTAGAACAACTTTTCAGAGGACATTGTGGTGTCTTATTACAAACATCTATTTTCTCTTTATTATTTGTATCTATTCTTACATCTGTAACAAAATTGTGTTATACAATAATATTATTACAAACAAAATTCATTACAAATACCAGCCCCATCAATTGATAGAAATATACAATGTTCAACAACCAAATTGATACAAATAATTGATATAAAATTGTGTTTAGTTTAACTAGCATTAAATTGATTTTCCTTTTTAAGCGGGTTTAATCTTTTTATTAAGACAAATACGATTTAGTCTTATTTAAAAGGATAATTACTATTTTTTAAAAGGATAATTATTTTTTTTACAATTATTTTTTTCTTGTGTTTTTTCCTTTAAAGGTTTTTTACAGTTACAACATTTTAAGCAATAATTAATATTTTTTTAAAAGGACAATAACTATTTTATTTTTTACAACTATCTTTTTGTTATTATTTGAAAGAACGAAAATTAGTGTTAAATTTATATAAAAATATAATTACTATTTCCTAAGAAAACCAGATTTTTCCTTTTTAAGGATTTTTAATTTAAAAAAAAAAGATAATTACTATCTTTGTAAAAAGGATAATTATTTTTTTTTAATTATTAACTGATTTGTATTTTAACACATGTCGCAATCTTAAATGTATAGTCGCCATGTGTCGCAATCGTGTTAATTAGTAACTTTGAAAAACCAAGTTTTATATAATAAGATATGTGAAGTAATCTTACACCAAAACATATATATATATGTGTGTGTGTGTGATCTTTTTCCTATTGGTGTTTTAATTTATTCTCTCTTACCAAAGTTTACAATAAAACTAAAAAAATTAATGTCGGAAAAAAACTAAACAAATTAATTATAACTTGACTACAAATTCTAAATGTTATATATGCATGTATAATATTATTTCACTTTACATACAAAATATAAAATCTATATTTAATACTTAGACATTCAGCAAATATATACTATAATTTAAGTACTGAAATCATAATATAGATATAAAATATATATATATATATATATATATAAATATATATCTTTAATGTTTTTAATTTGATCTTTGTGAATATTGATATCTTGTGTATTTGCATGGTTTTAGCAATCATTTTAATTTTAATTTTATCAATTTAGATGCATTTAGAGTATATTTAGGTGCATTGCATATGCTTTTGTTCTTATTAGATGATAAAGATGCTATTTGGTGAGTTTAGAGATAAAAATGGTGATTTGGTTCATAAAACAAGTTGCGTAATCATGGTGATTTTGGTTCATTATAACAAAAAAACAAGTTGCGTAGTTGTCCCAGCGGCCTGACGTCTTTGTAGCGTCCTAATGACCTCGTCCACAAGCCGCTAGGGGAATGTAACGTCCAAGTGAGAAAAAAAATCAGAATATAAGAGAATTATTATTGAATATTAAAAGCTTAGATCTATCTTATAAGTGGTTTAAAAAAAAATATCGTGAGAAAAAAAAGTGGTTTAAAAAAAATAATCCCATACTAAAAAGGAGAATAAGATCAATGCTCAGGTGTCCATATCGTTTAATTAAATCGACCAATGATAGAGAATAATTCGACCACATGGTCCTATCCTTCGTTTGATACAGTTTAACCAGGCTACACATGGTGAATTTCTAATAACTTCAAATGGCCTATTTGAAATTATTAGAAATTCACTATGTATGGCCAAAATGTGTCAAACGAAAGATAGGATGATGAGGCCCGTTTGAAACACATCTCTCCTTAATCTAATGTTCTCGCATAGATAAGGTCTAACTGGTTGAAACGAAGTGGTTGCGAGAGTTTATGAATATAGGTGGTTACAGTTTCTATGTTACTAGGTGTTTTGTATAATTGATAAAGCGGTTAAAATTTGGTGCATTATGGAACATTTATGATTGATTAATTATGAGATAATACAACAATTTGATAATAAAATATTAATATTAACACATTATAACATTATAAAATTAGCAAGAACATAGTATTATGACAAGGGTTAATTTGTCATATAACCAAATTCATAATGAAAATTAAGAAAATGTCATTGATTTTGACATAACTAACAAACCAACATTTATGTCATAAATGAGTCGGTGACGTCAGCCAGAGAAAATATGGACAAGAATTAACTAACACTGTTCACAATAAAAAGCACGCAAATTATGTACATCACACACTTAGTTACCACATACGTTTTCACTTTCAGTGGTGAAACGAGTAGATAGAAATAGAACCTATGTTACATGGAAACGGAATCTGATACGCAGAATTGAAATCGTATGGAAGCGCGAAATCGTAATTTTAAAAAATATTAGGAAGCGGATACGTGTTGGAAGCGTATATCTCAATATATACATACACACACACACACACACACACACACACATATATATATATATATATATATATATTAAATTTATAACTAAAAATTATATGATTCTAATTTAAAATAAACATTTATTTATCTTAATTTTAAATGATTGCATATTATAATAATGAAAATACGGATAAGTTAAGTTTATAAACAAATATTACCAATTAGATATTTTTTTACATTTTATAAATAATTGACACACCATATTTGAATATATATATATATCTAATAAAAACAGTGCATATAGTATTAATATTAGTATTTACACACACACACACACACACACACACACACACACACACACACACACACACACACACACACACACACACATATATATATATATATATATATATATATATATATATATATATATATATATATATTTCACTATGTATAATATTATATACTATATAAACATAAAAATGATTTTACATTTTATTTATTTATATATGGTATTGTGCTTTTAAAATTAGAAGCGTGATTCCAAAATGAAAACATAAGCTTCAACATGTTTTGGAATCGAGATTCCGCAAGCTTCCATAAGATTCCGATTCCGATTCTGATTCCGAAGCGGGAAGCGCACATCCGATGAAGCTTCCATGCAATGTAGAATAGAAAACTGTTTAAAAAAATGACGTATTTCATTTACTACATACTATAAATGGTGAATATTTCACTAATTCTATTATATATCACCAAAATTGTATAGAATATCAACTCTATCTCAATCCCTAAATATAAATATTAAACATTTCTCTAATCCCACCTTAAACCCTAAATATTACACCCTAAATTCAAGTATAATTATAAACGCAAATTTAAAACTAAATCCAAAGAGAATTGAGCAAAATAAATAGCATAGTATATATTTGGTGAAATTATAAAATGTCTATAATTGCATTGTCTAACCCCACCCTAACCCCTAAAAACTATCTCAATCCCTAAATATAAATATTAAACCTTTGTCTAACTCCACCTTAACCCCTAAATACTAAACTCTAAATTCAAGTATAACTATAAACCCAAATATGAAACTAAACCCAACAGAATGGAACAAAATAAATAGCATAGTATATATTGGTGAAATTACGAAATGTCTATGATTGCATTGTCTAATCCTACCCTAACCTCTAAATACTATCTCAATCCCTAAATATAAATATTAAAACTTTGTCTAACCCCATCCTAACCCCTAAATACTAAACCCTAAACTTAAGTATAACCATAAACTCAAATATGAAACTAAGTCCAAATAGAATGGAACAAAATAAATAGCATAGTATATATTTGTGAAATTATGAAACCTAAACCCAAATATCAAATCTAAAAAAACACAAAATATTTACTACATTCTTATTCATATAGTATGCAACTTATGCTAGTGTAAAATGGAAGGGAAATCATGTTTGTGTTAGAGTAAACAATATTATACGAAATCGATGAAGCATTGTAAAATAATTAGTGGTAATGTCGATGTTAGAGGTAGAGTAATAATAAACATGATATGTGGGAGTCGATTTCACCCTACTGTCAAATAAATCGTAAATAAGGAAACTTCGGGAAAAACCCTAAGTTTCCAGAGGAACCGGCTATCTGCGAGAACCGCACAACGAAAATAAGAAAACGATAACTTAGAATTAAAACGAGAATAAACGAAAAACAAAGAGAGCAAAGAGTTTCTTATTCCGAATCTGCGTAGAACT